AACCACTTTCGATGACCGTGGAGGAGCTAGAGAGGTTTATTGGAATAACATTCTGCATGTCAGTTTATGGCCTACCACAAACTCGCATGTTTTGGCAAAAAGAGTGTCATGTAACAAAAGTAACTGAAACAATGTCTCGTAATCGTTGGGAACAAATAAAATCAAAACTCCATTTCAATAATAATGATTTGCTGCAGGATAATAATAATGATAAATTATTGAAACTGCGTCCATTTATCAACAAACTTGTGAAAAATTTCAATAATATTCCGATAACAGAAAAGCTTTGTGTTGATGAACAGATGATTCCTTTCAAAGGTAGACATTGTTTGAAGCAATATATGAAGGCTAAGCCCAGAAAGTGGGGATATAAAGCATTTGTCTTGTGTGGTTCTGATGGTGTTGTATACAACTGGGAATTATATGCTGGCAAAGAAGAACTTGATCAAACACTAGTAGATGTGGGTGTAAGTGGTAATGTAGTAATGCGATTGGCAAAAATAATCCCCAGAAACATGTACCATAAATTATATTATGATAATTGGTTCAATAGTATCAAGCTTCAAGTAGAATTATTCAAATTGGGAATCCCAAGTTTGGGAACTGTTCGCTATAATCGTTTGGCAGGTTGTTCATTTTCTTCTGATAAAGATATGAAGAAGAAAGGAAGGGGAACTATGGAAGAAAAAAGAGCATGCATAGATGGAGTTGATCTAAGGGCCATAAAATGGTATGATAATAAGCCAGTTCATTTACTGAGTAGCTTTGTTGGCATTCATCCCACTAAAGAAGTGAAGAGATGGGATAAAAAGACCAACTCCAAAATTGATGTTTTGTGGCCACAAGCTGTCTGCATTTACAATCAATTCATGGGAGGAGTTGACTTGGTTGATTCCCTCATTGCTCTCTATAGAACTTCAATTCGGAGTAAAAAATGGTACAACAAAATATATTTTCACCTCATGGACCTGTGCGTAGTGAACGCTTGGCTTTTATATCGACGAGATTGCAAAAGATGCAATATATCACAAAAAGAACAGATGTCATTACTTCAATTCAAGATTGATCTGGCCAGTACTCTTTGCTCCAGTGGAGCACAAGTTGATTCGAAAAAACGAGGAAGACCAAATTCATTTATTGTTGAGAAAGAAATAGATAATAAAAAGAAAAGAGGAAAAGTAGCTACAATGCCAACGGAAGATACTCGCAAGGATCAAATTGGTCATTGCCCAACTTTTACTGAAAAAAGGGGAAGATGTAAATATCCACACTGTAACGGGTCACCTAAAATGTATTGTGTGAAGTGTAATGTACATTTATGTATAACACCTAACTCGAACTGTTTCATGCTATTCCATACCCATTAACGCTCAGTGTTACTTTCAAGTAACGTACCCCCCACAAACTTGTAAGGGGGGTGAAAACTTTTTTGTATACTCAGGACTTCGAGAAATTAATCTTTCAATAAAAAAATTAGTTTCGAATTTTTTCTTTCATTGAAAAAAAAACGGGCGGTAGAGGGTTTTAAACTGGTCGAATCAGCATCAACACTTTTTTCTCATATTATCTTCTTATTCTTTTTTGAGGACAAAACACAAGCAGTTTTCCAGATGGAAGAGTTCTCAAACAGTAGAGTTCGAGGTGTACTGAACTGAACCTCAAAATGATGAGCAGCCACAGTCCGTCGCATATTTCTGATATGTACCGTTCTTAGTGGAATCAAATGCGCCAAGTCATTCGAACACTTTCGGTGGAAGTATCTATAGAAGAGAGACAAATCTCCAACCTCTCTTCGATGTTCCAGGCTATCAAGGTTGCACGTGATGTTCAATTTCACCAATAATTTTTCACCAGATAAATTAATATCTAATCAATATTTTATTCACTATGAGTCTATTTATAGCATAAACATTAATGTATAAAAACAAAAAAATGTGTGGTGAAAAAGTTAGACGAGATTGGTATTGTTAACAGTATTGTTAACAGTATGTTTTGCAACAAGATGATTCTACGGTACTTGCAAAAGATTAACTGTATTTTGGGATAAGCGGTACTAGTACTCTAAGATGCAGACCGCCAGTATTACCAACATAATACAAATCAAATCAAATTTTTATTTGGTTCATAACAAAGCTACAGCTTTAGAGCATGTCACAAAATACCATAAAATTAACATATGCTCAAAAGTAAAATATACAATCTTCAGAAGATACTGTGCAATAAAAATAATAATACAGTACATACATACAATCGTGCAAGGCATCTTTGCTCTATGGTCCAGGGAATAAATGGAAAAAGTCATTAATACCATATAGGGGATTTTCCGTAAATAATGTCTTTTTTTTTAATTAAGTATAGTTCAGAGAACGTACTGTAAGAGGTAGGGCATTGTATATTTTAATATCAATAGTATCGTCCATTCTTTGTAACCGGGTTTGAGGTTACAACAGAGTGACTATTAGTGTCTTCTTTGACATATAGTAACTTTACAAAAATTATCAAAGAGTAAAGTGTCATTATTCTCAACGTTTCAAAGATTGGTTTGCAGGAGTCTTCAAAATTAGTTCATATAATAGATCTTACAGCCCTCTTCTGAATGACGAATTTAGCATTTAAATGAAACTGAGCTGCCGAGCTCCAGACAGATAAGCCATATCTAATAATGGATTCAAACAGTGCATAATAAGTAGTTATTGCAGCGGATTGGTTAATAAGTTGTTTAACTTTTTTTATAGCAAATACTGCACTATTTATTCTATTGCAAATTGTACATATACGTATGTTCTATAATAGCCTGACATCTATATCTACACCCAGAAATTTAGTGTGCAGCATGTCTAGGTCGTCTTCTACATTGTAGGATAGTCTGGATTCGAAAATGAGACTTTTGTTTCTTTTTTCTTCATTGAGTATGAGCTTGTTTGTCAAGAACCAGGTTTTTGCTTGTTCCATAACTTCACCAAGGATTGTAGCCAAACACTCCCCTTTATTGATACTAATGCCAAATGTGGTGTCATCAGCATACATAATTGTCTCGATATTTGAGGCGAACATATTTGGCAAATCGTTAATATAGATAATAAAGAGAAGAGGGCCGAATATTGATCCCTGAGGAACTCCTCTACTTATTATCTGAGGAGTGCTCCTCTGATTTTCAATTCAAACTACTTGAAATCGATTGAACAAGTAGGATTTGATTAGTTTGAGTGCCACTCCTCTTGTTCCATAGTACTCCATTTTCCTCATTAGTATGTCATGATCAACACAATCAAAAGCTGCACTTAGGTCTGTGAAGATTCCCGTTTCTTTCAAAACTGGTTTTAATAGCACAAGATAATGACTTGATAGCATCCAAAGTGGACATATTTTTCCTGAAATCTTACTGCTGAGGACTCAGGATTTTGTTCTTAACGGAGTAATTAGCTAGTTGATCATAAAGAATAGTTTCAAATATTTTTGCATGTCCTACAGTTAACTATGTAACTCATCATAAACTTGACATATAGGTTACTTATTTTTCTATTCTATAAAGAGGTGATAGCAGCACATATTTTTATTACAATATATACAGCTACTGGACTGAGTCATGGTCAGTGGGAGAAATCGTATCTGCGTAAAGTTTGGGTCGGTGTATGAGAATAAAAGTATTAGGGAAAAAGGAATAGAAACTTTTGTTTGCAATTTTACAAAGAACGGATTAAGGGGTAAACAAGAAATGGATATTAAAATGCCATTTAGTTCTTGTAGATATATAAAAGCCAAGCCATGACTCAGTCTGGCAGCTATAAATGAATAGTGGACTTGATACATCGGTGAACTGAATAAAAATAGTGAACATGTTTATCTGATTCTAATAACTTGTGGTATATGTGCTTCTACTTTGCTCACTTTATAGTAAGCCTATGCATTTCATGAAATCAACTCCGGAATAGAAACAATTTTTTGATAGGTTAATCTATTATTTTTGAAGATATTGAAATTCAATTGAGTGTGTAGAAGGTTGTCAAAAACATCGATATCCAGAGAATTTCAAATTAATTTAATTGAAAGGGGTATATTATTAGGATTAATTTTTGGGAAAGGTTTTGGTATTCTACTGCTCTGTATTTATATAGAAAAATGTGGGAATATTCCATAGAAAGGAAGAAAGCAATTGATTTTGATGTTTTTATGAAAGTAGTTGTTTCAGGAGGGCTTTTTCTTCCAGTTTGTGCCTGAAAGTTACTTCTTTGCATGATCTACACATTTTTGTAGATTAGGAGAATATACCAATCCAAAATATGCATGTTCATTCATAATGTTAAGAATAATAAAAAACATTCAGTACTATGTTTCGACAATATTAATGTAATTTATGATCCTGATACACGGCAAATTCAAAATATAGTTTCGCAACTCCACAAAAGCGAATTTGGTCAAAACTGTGTGATGGACTTAATTCATACAATAAAATATCTAAAAATATTAACATCTGGGATGTCTGAGTTGTCCCACATTTTATACGCTTTATTTTATTCTCATAATTATGATGACCTGAGTGTTTTGGACGGTTTTCGGGTTCTGCAGTGGTCTTCTTTGGTTATAATCTCAAACGTTTCGACTGCAACTGCTGTAGTCATCTTCTTGATGTGTCAACTGTTTCAGTTGACCAAACCACTGAAGATGATTGCCGCAGTTGCAGTCGAAACGTTTGGAGATTATAACCAAAAAATAGCACGGCAAAACCCGAAAGCCAATCAAATCATTGACTCCTATACATGCTGATCTGAGTTTTTTTTATGTAATTCTGAACTTTCTGAAAAGTAGTTGAAAATGATCATCAAACCCCTACAATTTCAATGATTTTGTTTCTTCACGAGAATAGCTCTGCAGCTCAATAGATTGACAGTTAATATGGGAAAGATTAATGAATATAAAAATAAAGTTAATACAGGAGCTCTTACTCAATCATTCATTCAAAAAACAAATCAAATTTTTAGTAGTCAGGAATTTTTTTTTTATTAAATTGGTGTATTTGGAGGTTACAAGACTGAAATCCAGTCTTATCACTGCGATCCTCTTTATGAAAAATTAGGTGTTACTGAGTCGGTCTGAAAATGATGCTAATAGATACATTTTTATTGCATTTAAAAGCAATATTTGCTAGAAATCCCAGCTTTCAGATACCCTGTAAACATGGTCATTTTCTGGTTGGAATATAAATTAAATGCTTCTCGGCCTATAACACTAATATCACACTGAACTGGTAATATAACCCTCTTGAATCAAAAAGTCATAGAGCTTTCTAGTCTTATTGACATCAATTTTCAGCAATCTCCTAGCAGTTTGCAAAGCCACATAGCCATTTTTCTTGCACTCCGCAACCAACACGTCCCGCAGTTGAAAATACGTCATAGGAACAAGTCTCACAGTACTACACAATTCTATTTCCTTCTCGGATAGTTGAGAATAACCAGGCATGCCAGTTACTTCAATCGGAGCAAAAGTTCGTCGCCTGTTGAATTTTGTTAAAAGGGCAAGGTTCACGTCCTTGTTTTTCAAACTGAACAGGGGGTTGGTTCTAAAAGCTTTCAGAGATTTTCTGTTCGCCTCGTGGAGTTGGTTGAGCTTCAAAAATAGCCGCCCCTCATCCAAGGAAGTTATACCTTTTCTTCGCAAGTTGAGTAATCTGAAATAATGAAAGAGAATAATTAATTACACTGACCTATCACAAAACAATGTTTGTCTTATAGAATGTCTCATTTAGTATTCAGGTGAATTTATTTTTAGGAAACCAGAAGCTACTATTAGGTTATCAAAATGGCTTTAGAAGTGATAAATCCACAACTACAACAATTGCAGACTTGTGTACAAATATCTACATTGCATTAAATGGGAATCATCGCTCGATAACCCTAAATCATAAAATAAATAATTGAATCACCCTATAAGTATGCGATGTCAACAAAAATTTCAACTTCACTCAAATCGATTTGTGACTTGAAACAAATTTTAGTCAAACATGTCAAAATGGACTCAAGCAAATGTCCTCAAATTACGAAGGCACTATCCTGTTGCTGTGTTAGTAACCTTTAGCATCATTTACCATATTATATTACCAAGCATGCACAGTCATATATTGAAACCTACCGAAAAGGAAAGAGCAAAGTATGAAATGATGAACCGTCAAAATTGATCACATCATGAGGATCTTAGAAGATATAAAATATAATAGAAATTATTCAAAATATATTTTTGAGCCATGACAATTTTTTCCAATTAGTAATTCACTCATTCATGAAAGATCATAACAAAAAAACAATACTTAGAATAAATAGCAAATAAAATCATTTTTGGGTGGAAAACTTTATGACAATAAATTTGAAGCTTGTCATCAGAATGCCAAATTCAATAATAATTATTACCAGAACTTTATAGGAGACATTTTCAATGTTGGAAAAGATAATTGAGAAATATGTTAAATTCAATAATAATTATAACTAGAACTTTATAGGAGATAATTTCAATGTCAGGGAAGAGGATTAATACATTTTAGATTTACATTAATTACTCGAAAATCTTTTTCCCAATTATGATGAAATTTGTTTTTTCATTTATTTTTTGTGGAGAAAATCAGAGTTATCGCCTTTATTTTAGGTCTTGGAAGGTGAAAATCCCCAAAAATGGTTGACAAAAACACTTTTTTGATGTTATCACATTTGAAATAATTTTAGAAGCTTCAGAGAGGATTACCTGATGATATTAATAATGAAAATCGTTACATCTAAGTTTAATAATAATAACATCTGTGGTGAGAATTTTCTTTTGTTCAATAATTCAAAGCAGTTGCGGCAAAAATTTCACTACAAAAGTAAAGATGCTATTTTTGTCGGCACTTGCTGATCGAAACACGTGTCGAGGTGTTAAAAATAACGATTTGGTGTTGGGAAAAAACTCCAGTAATATTCATTACTACACCAAAGGTTCCAAACAGTGCATCATAAGGTTTGAATAATTGTTCATAAACCAATAGAAAATACCAACAAATACGCTAGGGGTTTTCAAAGAATGTGGGCCAATTCAATCACATAAATTTCAACACCTGACTTTGTGTGAAAATGCCAACAAATAATAACAAAAACTCAAAGTGAAGTGCCGATATCATTTGGAACATGGTTTTTATCACCAGAATGGGTAACTGAATTAGTAAATTTTTCAAGTTTTGGCTTTTGACTGACTCCGAAAGTATTCGGCAGAGCCAAGTATCGACTTGGCGTTATCAGCTGACAAAAATGGGTGAGTCTAAAGAATGATTGGGAGCCATTTACACAAATATTTTCCTACCTCTAATTTTAGAAATTAAATAAGAATTTTGAAAAACTGACCTTGATATTTGCAGCTTCAGTTCTCCAACCCTGTGTATTCCCTCCATCAGCATATTGAACTTCACAGGCTCACAAAACTGCATGAATCTTATTAGTTTTTCATATACTGGTTTCTGAATTGTGAAGTCATACCTGTGAAGCCAAGACATCGTCTTCCTGAGTAAAATTAATCCATGTTCTCTCATTAAAGTTTTCCACCTTTGGCGTTCCCTCAATCTCCTGTTGTAACTCTCCACTAGAGAACATTGCAGGTTAGTTAGGAGTTCGTATTGCGGATCATCTTCTTCAACAATTTCCATATGTGACAATAAATCTTCAGCATTCTTATCGTATTCACTTTCAAAATCAGAGCGAGCTGGATTATAACCTGCCAAAGACTTGAAGCCTATTGTATTACATAAATATCGAGGTGGTTCATCGCTATCGGATAACCGGAACCTATAAGGCACAACTACCTGTGGAAAAACAGCTGCAACTCGGTCTTTTAGTTTAGGTAATTTGTTTGACCCCTTTCTATCTAAATAGAAACTATCATAGTGATTAATAACTTCATTTACCGTTCTGTTTGGGAACTCTTGGGCGACAAGATTCCAATTTCCATAGTTCATAATGGAATCCAATAGTTTCAGTTCTTCTTCGGCAGTCCAGTCAGAGTTTTCAAACAACGTAAATTTAGTTGATAACACTTTGTAGTCATGATCATTTTTGTGATTAAAAAACTCTGAACCACTAGAGAAGCAGGTTAAACAAATATTCACATTGCACTTATCACACAGAATCCACTTATTGACTACTTCACAGGAACAGTTTTCACAGTTTGTCGAATTGTACTGATCTAAATCATTAGAGTTAGAAAATTTTAAGAGGTCATCTTCTGAAAATGTAACTGACTAGCTAAAATATACTTAATTTTGGAAAAATCATACCTTTAGGAAATTGCAAATCTGCTGCATCTTCTTCGGTGAGATCGGTATTTGTGTTGGTCATCATTTTGATAGTAAATTAATACTGATTCTGGGATATTATTATAAAGCTAACAAATATGCTGTAGCAGAGCACAGACTAGGTTTTGAGTTTATGGGTTATGGATTTCTAGTTTATTCCAATTTCTTCCTCTTCTGTTTGTATTGTCGTCGCTTCCTTAGTCAGGGGCATTTGACCAGTGAACCTCCTACCACGTTACACAATAGGAGCTTCGTCGGGTGGGTAAAATTCAAATAGTTCGAAATAATAAACAAGTATTACTTGTTTTCCGCTGTTAATTTCTTGAAGTGTTGGCGAGTGCAATTATACAATAATTTTTGCACATTGGTTTCTTTTCTACTATTATTTTATGCAAATAGAAGCAATTAGGAGAGGAAGAACATTGTACAAATCAGAGGTCTACTAAGGGTATAGGTCGAGGATGGGAGACAAAAAAGCGAACGAACCTCCCCTACATTCTACAATTTAATGTTGTCATATTCCATGAAATGTATTTTGTCATTTTTATGAGTGAAAAGTTTAAATTTTCGAGTACTATAGGGTCTTGCACTGAACTCTTCCTATCTTTAAATTTAAATAAAAAAATTGTGTAAGAGATATCTTTGAAATTTTCTATGCGTTGATGTCATTATGTGCAGAATATTACATCGTTCAAATGTCCACCACCATCTCTGGGTGGAGCGCATTCGAAAAGTCTTATTTTCTATGACTCTGGCATATAAATCAAGCTGAATTGGACCGATGGCATGAATTATGTCGACTTCATGGACCGCTATGGTTTGTGGCTCATTCGCATGCATCTGCGATTCAAGAAAATCCCACAAGAAAAAGTCTGGCGGGGTCGAATCTCACGATAGCGGTGGCGAGTTCACATTACCTCCTCACCTCATATAACCATGCCCTAAGCATAACCTGGAGCTACTGGATTCCATCCAGGAAAACATCCTCCTGATTAGAGATGCGAACATCACTTGCAACCTTGATAATCTGGATTCCACCAGAAGCAGTACATATCAGAAATACGCGACGGACTGTGCCTGCTCATTGTGTTGAGGTTCAACTCAGAACACCCCGAACTTCACTGTTCAAGATTTCTTTCATTTGAAGAACATTTTCCCAAACGGATTTAATCTCCAGCGATTCAAATCCAATGTGACTCGCTACTTTCACACACTGTAGTGTTTGTGTTTTGTCCTAAAAAAAACGTCGAACCCTGGTAGAACCTTTGCCAATCAGGACCAGGCAAAAACGGCCTTCGTCGACTCCATCGAATCTTTAGCACACAATTTTTATGCTGACGGAGTTAATCAACTTGTGTTACGTTGGGAAAACTGTACTGATCCAAATGGCTCTTTCTTCGAATGAATTGAATAAGTATTCACTGAAGTATTTCAGTTCAAAGTAGACACAGACAGACACTTCTGAATGAACCAATATAACCTTCGAATATATCAATATTGGAAAATTCTCAACAAGATCATATTGAAGGTTGGAAAGGCTGAAGTCAAGAGCCCCTTTTACTTAAAAATATCAATAAGCAAATATATGGAGTATAAAATTCTCTATCGATCAGTATACTTGGAGTTCAGTAGGTATTTTCAACTAGTATTGATTATTATTGAACCATAGGTATTCTGATTAAAATGTGAACAATTCGAATCAATAAAACCTTTGGAATAGTATTGAAAAAGGTATGCGAAGAAGGGATCCTGTCACATTATTTGAATAAGAATTTCATGCATTACTTATACTATTAAAATCAGTAAATCGGAATTTTATGGATTTATATGTGATATATGGTTGATGTACAGATTGATGAAACATATTAGATAATTATATGAATTCACTATGCTCATGTACATCGTTATAACCATGTTATTTGGCAAAAAATGTAATCTGTTCGATCAGGAATGTCAGTAAATTAAATTTTCTCAATGTATCGAATATTGTTTCAACTACCTAATGATTACTCCAAATTAAGCACTTGCATCAGCCGTTCGGAATAAAAAAACACAGTTTATTGCACATTGGTAGTGAATGTGGAGTAAGAACGCATATATAAAATGAGGTGGGTCTACAAAATTATTAGTGAGTCTAACATTCTTCCAGAATATACAGTGAAGTAAAATGTTTCCTCAAGTGAGTTTCATCAATAAGTATTCCAAACTGAAATTTTGAAGTTTTCTTCAAAAAGTTTATCCAAAAATGGATATCATTTCTAGGACAGGATTTTTGAAAATTTCAAGTTATAGTGGCATATTTTCGTAGATACCTTTCCGACAAGAATTTTTATGACCTAATAAGCTATTAATGACCACATATAGTAGTCATACTCTCGTAACAACTACTTTCATTATAAACATTCAATTACACGAACAAATGAATACTTTCGAAACAAAACTACTTTTATATGAACCTTGAATTATACATAAAACACTTTTTCCAATTCAGTTTGTACGCCAAACAGCAGATATCATTCACAGGATTGCTATACACATGTTGATGAAGGGAATTATGTAGTATCAGTCTTCCTAGAATTCAAAAGGGCTTTTGAGACCATCGAGTGCTTTGTTTCGAAAGTCATTTGAAAAATAGGAGGCAGATTACAATGCGCTCACGCTTATTTATGTCTTTAATGAACGTTTGTACATTAGGGTAACCTAAATGAATGAAATACTAGTAGAAAGACAAAATCTTTCTATCGCAAAAATGTATCTTTCCTAGAAATATACCCCCTTCAATCTGTCAATTTTATTAATTTATTTTAATAGTGCCAACTCATCGTCAGAAAGGTCTAAGCACAAGATCTGTGAAAGTTATGTGGAGGTGATTTTTACCTATTCGGAATTATGGAAAAATCGTAAAAAATTAATGGCTACCTTCACTTTACAGTACACTCGATTTGTTTTTCAACGCCTGTTTTGGGTTTTTTGCCTCCCACAATCCGAAAAATATAAAAATTGTGATGCAAAACTCCACACTGGTGTAAAGTTTTAGAAACCTGTCATGTTGAATGTTTTGTCTGAGAAATCATACAGATATTTGTCTTGAGGTTTCGAGGGTTAAAATCTACCCCCGGCTTCAGGACTAGAAAAAAAACTTTCCGCATCTCAGACACTGATGAAAAATTATATTTCAGGGATTAGCTTTCGTCACTCTTTTGGCCTTGACCCATGGAGGACTCATCAGCGGTGGTCTGGAACTTGGTGGACTAGGATATGGAGGTCTTGGAGGTATCTCCACCATTGGAGGATCTGGAATTACTTTGGCTGGAAAACAAACCGTTGTGGATCTAGTTGTGAGATTAATTAATTTGTTCCCTGAATATTTTGCATAAGAGTTGTACTCATTTCACAGAAAACCGCTTTTAGCATAGGCAGTATATAAAAACACAAAGTATGTTTCTCTATGCATATTTATGAAAACTAATTTTCCAGTCAGAACGGTGGTGTCGTTTTTGACTGCCTCATCCGTGAAAGTTTCGGAAATGCTCTTAAAATTGATTCAATTTTATACTAATTTCAAACCTTGACTCTGTATGGATAAAACGTACCTACCAAACAGTGTATAACATTAAAAACTCTTCCCGACAACGCTAAATTAATATTATTCGATGTTCAAAATTCATTTCCTAGTATTCCGCCAATAGAAACATTTGAGTTGATTGAGCTCCTCTCAGACAAAAACCATGTTAATACAATAATTGAACAGGGAATTTTGAATTTCAATTTGCCTATCTCGAAATTATTTTCAATTCAATGACAAGTTTTACTTTTGTAGCCAGTAAATTTACAATTTACAACAAACCATCTTACACAGACATCATCTATACATCCATATTAACATAATAGTAGTAGTCAATAGTAAGATTCACAGATTAATGAATATTCTACTATGAGAAAGCAATTTTCAAAGAGAACTGATTTTCATCAAACAAATTGCTGTCAACAACGGTTATGAGATGAATACTTTTGACTCAATTATTTATGAAAAATTACAAAAACAAGCTCTGAAACGAGTCGATTTCATTTCAAAGAATGATAGTAAACATTATGTGACTCTAACTTGCTACTAATAATATCTTTCGTTTTTTGAAAAATAAAGAATTGGACGTAACCTACAGAACAAATAATGATTTTTGTAAATTCATTATAACACAGCGTCGGCGTCGGATATATCGGGAGTACATAAGTTGACTTGGGGTTCTTGTTCTAAATTCCATATTGGCCAAACTGAAAGAACTTTTTCCAAAAGAACAATAGAACATAGAAAAACATGGAAAAACCAATTCAACCTTTGCAAATTTTTTTCGACAGAGGGGCACGCATTCAATCACGACCACGGAGTATTGCATTTGGAAGAGAAATACTCAAAACTCAACTTATTAGAATGCCTAGAAATATATTTGAGAATTCATTGCTCAATCGAATGTTCAACCAGTTTCTCTTCATTTTGGATGATAATGTATTTATAAATAAAACTTAAATTTTAAATGTCTTCCCTCAATTCCGGTCGAATGATTCGTCATCAAATCATCATTGTTTTGCTACCTTTCATTTGATACAAACGTTACTGAATGAGTTTCACATTATTTTCTGATTCGATTTTTGGGATATATTTGAAAGGATTCAGATATCATAAACATTAGTAGTATTATGACTTCATCATTACTATTATTTCAACAGGCACCACCTAAATATGAATACAAATATGCAGTCCAGGATCCTCACACTGGCGATCAAAAGGAACAACAGGAATATAGAAGTGGCGATCTAACTAAGAGCGAATACGAACTTGCTGAAAAAGATAGGAAAATTCAAGTATCTAGAATAATTGCAGGAAATATACCTATAGTGAATAAGGGGTATTCTATCGGTGGATATGGAAAACTATGAAGCAGAAAACACTATTAGTTTTTATTGATATTACCTATATGTATATAAACGTTTCTAGATTTGTAAGATGACTGCGGTAGATGCGAGAGCTTAGAATAAAGTTTATTAAAAAAGTGAAAGTATCGTTAATAATTTTGGAAAATGCTTTGTTGCAAAAAATATATACCTAGCACCTTGTTTTCATACAAAACATATAATGAAAATAATAATATCTTCATTCGCAACGTATACAGATTAGAGTACAATTAAA